TGTTTCACTAATAAAAGTATAAAAAAATTAAAAAAAAAACACAATGGCAGTGGTGATCATATGCCCAGGAGCTTCTTGCATTTGCTGATACCAATAGTGAATAGCAAAGAATGAAGCTGATGTAAAAACATTTCTTCTGAGGCAAAATCAAACACCAGACTGTCTACTCCAAGACCTATGAAGTATTTTTCAGGACAGACCAACAGAATTTTAAGCTGAGGGTTGAGAGTTAGTACAATGGGTAGGGTGCTTGCCTTGAATGTGGCCAACCAAGATTAATTCCCTGTCAGCACATATGGTTCTCCAAACACCACCGGGAATGATCACTGTGTCTAGAGCCAGGAGTAAGGCTTAAGCATGGCTGAGTTTGAACCAAAACAAAATAATGCAATCTTTAATCGGCAATCAGAATGACCAATTTCTGATACTGGAGAGTTGAATAAAGAAAATTTATTTAAAAAATTTATTATTTGTTTTCTTAGAACTTAGATGGAATCTGAGATGTGAAATAATCTTTTGAAAGTAAGGAAAAACTCCTGGCTTTATGCATTTATTGAATTGTATTGACTAGAGCAAAATGATATTAGAGATAAATGTTATATTGGAAGGCATGATAATTTTTAATTAAAATTGTGAAGATACCTCATGAACCAATGATTTTTACCGCCCTGGTATCACACATTGTCATCTAGCAAACCAGATCTCTGCATGGCATGAGTTTGATATTCAATGGAAATTGATAAATATTATTTACTAATCTAATTTAAGGTAGAGTCAGGCATAGACATGATGATGGTGATAACAACTACTATTTTTCATTATTGATATTGTTATTATTATAAAGAAAGTAAGCTCATCAATTATGATGAAAAGATTTCTATCTCATAATGATAAAACACAAATTCAAATCATTTTACAATAATTGAAGGCACAGTTAAGTCAGGGAATTATTGTACATCAGAATAAGTGTTGAGGCCATCTTAAATAACAAATGAGATCTTTCAACATAGAAATGAGGACACCACTACCCTATGCATGTATGAATAAATAGCACAGTCAAATTTCTGGGCACATGAAAATGCTATGTTCATGCTGAAAAACTGATGAATGCACAATCTATAAAATAGACAATGTATCACATGACACATTGATATTGCTGAGGAGGGTATTAACTTTGATCAATCAATGTCATAGAGCTTCTTCACAGTCTGTTTCATCTGGTGCTTATTAGCCTTGACCTCCACAATGAATACAAGTGTCTTCTATTTTTCACATGATGTATCATTATGGAAAATAAGGGTAATTGTGCCATAATAAACACCACTAATATTCTGTGATGGAAGAATAAAGAAGTACCTGTGTTGCTATGTCTGGTAATAGGCCCAGATAAATTACTTCAGTTTTGAACCTCACAGAATGGTGTGGACACTGAGACAGAATGGAAAGTCACTTAGTAGGACTTTTTATAAAATACCTTTAAAAAGAACATCTTTGACCAGACTACTTTTATTCCTCCCCATTCTTGCCTTAGACATGAATTTGATCATTGTTTTTCAAGAAGCGATTTTCCGCATAAAAATAAGGGATTCATCTTAGGGAGAAAAGAATTTAAAACTTGTCCCAATACACTGAGGACCGATGATTTTTTTTGGAAGGCTGATATCTGTGGTTTTGGTCATATATGAGAAAAATGAATCCATGGTGTTGTTTCCAACAAGAAGTTAAGAGTACCCTAGAAATGTCTCTTGGGATAAATTGTGTCTCGAAACCTAAAGCAGCCTGACGGCATCAAATCCTCTAACATAAAATATCTCATCTGCGAAGTCTGGAAAAACCACTGGGATTCAGAATTCCAGATCCAAGAATGGCTAATTCCTAAGAGAAGAGGTGGCTGGACCCCAGGAAGGAGAGTCTCCACGCTGGAACATGAGGAGACCATCTAAAGAATACCATCCACTGCTCCTAGCTCTGGGGGCAAGGGCAGGGGATCTTGGAAAACTCTGAATAAACTAATTTACCAGAGGAAGAGGCGGCACAGGCTGTACTTTTAAACTTGAACCCCATTTCCGCATCGGGATGTGCACTAACTCTGTTCTGGAGAAATCTGTATTCTCTCCTGAACATGTATCGAATCCATCTTTCTTCTTTCCCTGCCTTTATTTCTCTTCAATAAACTTGTTTTACTTCACTATTCATCGCCTTCCGAAATTCCTTTTTAGTATGGGGATAAGCCACAGACCCGAAAAGCCTCTGTAAGATTTAGGACTGATTTTCCTCTCCTGCAAAGAGCAACCCATTCCTCCACCCTGATTCCACGGCTTTTCAAGAAACGTGATGGCTGAGATCACCTCCTATGCTTTGCAAAGTTAAGTGGACTTCAGGGCAGCTTGATGACTGTCTCATGGAAGTGGTAGGACTAGATTGTCCGTGTGTCTGGGCAGTGTATGGGCGCATCTAGGCTTTCAGCCATCCTGCATTGCCCAGGCATTCCCCTAGTGACAAAGGTGGATAGAGAAGGACGTAATGGATTCCCTCCTGGAAGCTGCTGCCTTTCTCCTCCCAGTTTCCCATAAGCCACCTGAGACCCCTATTTCTCACTGGGAGAGGGTGGAGTCTACCGCAGGCTTGACCTTATTTGACCCCATATATTTTTTTAAGTTATCAGAAAAGTTTCTTGGAATGTGTGTCTCAGGGCTCATATATTAAGTAATTTATAGAAATTAATAATAAAAGCATGACAAAGGGGCTGAAGTGATAGCACAGTAGGTAGGGCATTTGCTTTGTACATGGTTGACCCAGGTTCAATTCCCAGCATCCCATATGGTCCTTTGCATACCACCAGGAGTAATTCCTGAGCACAAAAGCCAGGAGCAACCCCTGAGCATCGCTGGGTATGACCCAAAAAGAAAAAGATAGAATGAACAAGGAGATTCCATATTTTTATTCACTTTTTCATGATATGGGAAACATATTTCTCAAAAGGCATATCTAACTATCTGGTATTTTGAAAATATCTGAAAACATGGAAACTTGATTTAAGAGTTTATGAATACCAAGAGCTTTTTCTCGAGAGAGCATGGTTGGGGTCAGAGTCAATGGTGCTCTTTGCTTATTCCTGGCACTGTGCTCAGGGTTCACTCCTGGTGATAACATAGGAAATCTTATGAGATCCCTGGGCTCAAACCAGTACCAGCTACATGCAAGGAAAATGTCCTAATCCCTGTACTATCTCTCTTGTCCAAAATAAAATGATATTTTAGGGACAGAGGATTCATTTGTCATAGCCATATCTATGGAAAGTTTGAGGGAAAAAAGTCATTTTGGAATAATTTTAAATGTTTAGTATGGAAGAACTTTTAAAAAAACTTCACATTTAAGAAATGCAAGATCTACTTAAGGTATAAGCGATTTTGAAATTTCCAAACATCTTTCCTGATATGAGACCAAAAAGCACAAAGTCTGTAGAACTAGAAAGTAGCTAAGTGTCTGCCAGAACCACCCACTTGTTCAAACATGGCCCATTGGCCTGGGTGTGGGGATTTATTCTAACCAATATGCCCATCCTGTGCCTATTTTCAGCTCTTCCTCTCTGCTGTTCCAGATTTGCCAAGTCGAAGACCTGAGGTTGAGCTTGCAACACAAAGGTTTTCCAAATGAATTGCTAAAATTATTAAAAATCTGTGTGAACATTTGTTGGGATTTATCACCAGCTACCTATTCAAAGGGGACACAAAGGGGAGCTTGTATGGAGGGAAGTGGAACAGATGGTTAAACAGAAGCATCTGACATTTCTGGACAATTACAATATTTATATGAAGAAAGAGAAGATAAAGTTCTTTTTCTCTCCCCCAATCGAACATTCTATTAGAGATATCAAATATCTTTTACATCTATCAGCTGGTTTTATTTCAGTGCCGTCATATAATAAAGCAACCCAAATGTCATTTTCAATTGCTTTAGAAAAAATAAAATGAAAAAACAGAGGCTCAAAGAAGTTAAATCATTAGTTTATATTAATGTAAGGGAGGGTAAACTCACAAAGGTAGTGTTTTATTTTCTTTTTTAAATTTACTACTGCCAAGGAATTAATTTTCAAATATATATTTCTTTTGCAGTAAAAGATAAGCTCAATAAAGTCAGGCTTTTGCTGCTTGATTTACCTTCTTACTACCTGGGACTAAAATAGTGATTGTGTCTTAGTAGGTCATAAAAATGTAACTTATGTGTGTGTGTGTGTGTGTGTGTGTGTGTGTGCGCGCGCACGTGTGTGTGCATGTGTGTGCGTGATGTCAGACGAAAACATTGAACCTAGATCTGTGTGTCTATAAAACTACTTTATCTTCTCCAATGCCATGCTATATGAACTGTTTTTTTGTTATTATGATGTTATCACTGCAAGAATTAGAACACCTGAATCCTGTCCTGAAGTTCTTTTTTTTTCCTCTGAAAAAGAAAATAGACAAGGAACAAGAGCAAAACAGAAATCAAAGCTCCTTTTTGTCCATAGGTTTCTTAAGTCCCTAATATTCTAATCTGGAGCCAAATTAAATAGGATGAGCAGACATTCTGCTCAGAAACATAAGCCTAATGAGTAAAATGCTTTCTTCTGCCCTCAATCAAAAAAATCTGAAAGTAGTACGCTTAGACTGAGATTGAAAAGCACAAGAACTGGGGAAGGCATGACAAGGAAAGAGACTGACCAACCTCGGAACTAGAGAGCTCAAACACAGCCATTTAGTTCTGGAAAATAATAATGTTTCCAGAGTCAGAGAGACAGCTTACCAGTATGGAAGCATGGTTTACTACTGGACTTCTAGCTTCCATTACTGGCACCACATGGTTCCCCCAGCACTGTAAGGAGTGAGCCCCAAAACATAGACAGGTATGGAACCCAAACAAAAATTATAATTTAGTTAGTATATACTGTTGGTTCAGACTAAAGAAAAATGTTTCTCAAGCAGGTGGAAACAATGAAAATACATAAATGACTTAATGAGGAAAGGAAGCTTTTGTGCTTTTGAACTAATACTTCCATTCATTATTAACTAGGACCATGCTAATCTTCTCTGTATCCTTTCAATTTTAGTATATGTGCTGCTGAAGCGACCATCCATAGGACCATCTCTCTAGAGTGATAGCACAGCAGGTAAATTGTTTGCCTTGCACACGGTCAACCTGCGTTGGATTCCTCTGCTCCTCTCAGAAAGCCTGGCAAGCTACCGAGAGTATCCTGCCCACTTGGCAGAACCTGGCAAGGTCCCCGTGGCGTATTTGATATGCCAAAAAACAGTAACAACAAGTCTCACAGTGGAGACATTACTGCTGCCCGCTCTAGCAAAACAATGAACAATGGGAGGACAGTGTTACAGTGCTATTAACTAGGACAAAATCCCCATAGATTCTTATCAATCTCCTTACCAATATGTTTCAGAGAGGAAATGCATAAAAAGTAGGATCTAAAGGGAGTGTGTGATAGGCCAAAATATCACACAAAGAAAAGCATGTGTTAGCTAGCCTTTCCCATTATTTTCCTTATTTAGCCTATATTCAAAATCTTATAGGTGAGCGATTTCTTCTGTTTATTATTATTAGATGCACAGAGGATAAAATTAGGAATTGTTGCTGGAGATCAAAATCTTCAACCAACCTTGTAGATATCAGTATCTAAAATATATCCAATAAGCTCTGGGTTCTCCCATTTATATGACACTTTATTTTACTATGCTAAATATAATTAGAAGCGTTTCTCTTTGCAACAAATCAAAGAGTGGAATAAAAAAAGAATGCAATAAGATGAAATTGTAGAACTGAGAAAGTAGGCCATATATTTGGGCCATAAATATAACCTGAAGGTTTAGACAAGATATGTACTTTTTATTTTAATACGGTCTTCACCAGCTTTGCTGGTGCAAGTGAAGTTTACTCCTCTCTATGCTTGGCCCAGTACCTGGTGCCTGACAACCGAAGTACTCGGGTACCACAGCAAAGCTTGAGGACCATGCGAGTAGTGTTGGGGGGGGGGGTGAGGGTAGCAAGTAGTGTCAAGATCAAACTCAAGACCTCATATGCTCTACCAGTTGAATTATTTCTTTTGGCCCCAAATATTCCTTGTTTGTACAAAAAAACAAACAAAAAAATAGAGATGTATACTTGATGTAATTTACTTACCTCTAGTCTTTATTTTGGTTTATGGACTTGTAAGATCTAGACATTTTTCAAAGTATGTAGAGTGTATTAAAATCTTACCAAGCACAATTTTATTAAACCATTATATATGCATATATATATATATATATACTCAAAATATAAAGTCAAAAGAAATAGAGTGAGTTCTCTAAGTCCACAGACCCAGTATAATGCAAAGATAGCCAGAATAATCATGAACCAAATTGTGGATTTTTCAGTTCATATGTTGGCACAGTTAAAACCATATCCAGTTCTCCATCTTTGACTCACATAGACAAAGACATTTTCCAAATGACAGAGTCCCTACATGTATACACATAAAATGTAGTGAAAGAGGCAAATAATGATAATATGATTCTCTTAAGAATTATAGTTGAATACCCCTGGAGGCTGTGTCTAGTTTAATATCAGATTCAACCATCTCTCCACTATGTCATGACAGTTATAATTCAAAAGTACCCCCTGTCCATTTTCTTTACTCCTGGTATAAGAATTCCCCTTTTAAAATTTTAACATTCTTCAAGCATTGTGTTGTCTCTACTTGCTATTTTAGGTTAAAATAAAGAAAGAAAATAAGGTAGGAAAGAGAGGAAAATAGAGTTTCTAGATTTGCTATTTCAAAGCTGCAGTTCTCAGGAAAAGAAGAAATACTGGGAAAAAAATAGACACAAACAAATAGATAATGAGCAAGACTTTTCTTCTAACCCTATCACCTCACCCCATCCCTTGTCGGCATTGTGGAAAACAATATTTTTTGCTTAAGGCAGCATGAAGGAGAAACATCAAAGCACAGTATTCAATAAGTCCTGTATATCTGTATATCTAAATATTGTCTGTCTCTGTCTGTGTCTGCCGTCTGTCTCTCTCTCTGACTCCCTCTGTCTCTGTCTGTCTGTCTCTCTCTGTTTGTCTGTCTCTCTCTGTCTCTGTCTCTGTCTCTGTCTCTGTCTCTCTCTCTCTCTTTCTCTCTCTCTCTCTCGCTCTCTCTCTCTCTCTCTCTCTCTCTCTGTCACACACACACACACACACACACACACACACACACACACACACACACTCACACACTTTTTTTGTCCCAGTACAGTCTTGAGATGACAGTAAGACTTTAGAGAGGGGAAAGCTTGCCTGGTCAGGCTAGGCAAACTAGACCGGTTACCCACATGTAAATGCTTGTATCCCAGCTGGGCATAGAAGCGACGCAGTATTCTAGTGCCTCCAAGTGGGAAACTTAGGTACTGAAGAACGAATTCGGCCGACGGGCAGGGAATTTTAAATACTGACAGAAGTGAGTGAGGACATACAGATACAAATTGGAAAATAAGAGCATTGGTCCTTTCTAAATTCCTAAAGTCCTTAAAATTCTTGAACCTAAAATTTATTCAGTCTTCCAGAATTGAAAGCTCCAGGTTCCTGCCAAAAAAGAGGAAAAAAAAAAAGAGTCCCACGTAAGTCTGAGATAAAATTTCTGCCACCCTGGTAAGATAAGAAAGATTTACATGGGAATAAACTTGACTGAGTTTATAAGGGATCCAAAAATCAAAAATAAAAATTTTGGATGAGTCTCTTAACCTAACAAAAGAAGCGACAATCTTCTCTACAGAGCAATTCTGTTTTAACAAAATTTGTTATTTCTCTTGTCTGCCATAAAAAAAAGACGAGGTTGTGCAACAGAACAGTGAGTGAAGCATTTATCTTGCTCGTGACCAACCCAGGTTCAATCTCCACCGGCATAAAATCCCTGAGCACAGAGCCAGGAGTAAGCATTGAGCACTTCTGGGTGTGGCCCCAAACCTAAAAAACAAGAAGTTACTAATCATTCATGTATCCTAAATATTTATTGTTGGCCTAGAAGAAAATTGCTTTACTATTGGACAGGTTGACAGTGATTTTGAGGCCCTCAACACCAGTATACATCAGATTCTATTACAAGGGGAAACAGAGAAAAAGTCTGTTTCCATTTGTCCCAAGGTGGTATATAATTACCACGTTCCTTCTCTGTGAAATGTTCACATCAATGCTATTTATCCCAACTTTTGATGAACTAGATGGACCTGCTTTTATTGAGCACAGAAAGTTTTCTAAGCCTCCCAGGCTTCTACCTGACCCCAGACACCCACGTCTGTCAACATCGCTTCTTCTTGAAGAGGATGACAGAAAGGAGAATTCTATGAATCAGAACATTGCCTGTATCAGTAAACAGTATGTGCTCAGTCATGTGTTTATCACAGAGGTTGACAGATAGGAACCTGAAATAAGAAATGCAGAGAATGAAAGAGGGTAAGAAGCCACCATGGAATACATCAGTAAAGTCAGAGATGCAAAATACATTTTTTGACTGCTCTTTTAAAAACACATTACCTCCATTTACATAAATTGTAGAAGCCTGCCAGGGCAATTTAATATACTTAACAATCCTGTTGTACTTTTATGCATTTTAAATATCTGATCAAGTTAAATAATAACAAACAAATAAGGATACAATTAAATAACAAACTCAACAAGAGCAATGACTGGGTTTAGTTTCTATGACTTGTAATTCCAGCAATTGGTGTAATACATGACACAAAGGAGTCTTAAATTTTGAATGGATTTTTTTTCTTTTTGGGTCACATCCAACGATGCTCAGGGGTTACTCCTGCCTCTGCACTCAGAAATTACTCCTGACTGCTGGTGTTGCTCGGGGGCCATATGGGATGCGGGGGATCAAACCCAGGTTGGTAGTCATGGTCATGGTCCTCCTGTTATTCATTGATTTGTTCAAGCGGGCTCAGTAATGTCTCCATTGTGAGACTTATTGTTACTGTGTTTGGCATATCGGATACATCATGGGTAGCTTGCCAGGCTTTGCCGTGAGGGAGAGATACTCTCGGTATCTTTCCGGGCTCTCCAAGAGGGGCGGAGGAATTGAACCCGGCTCGCCGGGCCAGCTGCATGCAAGGCAAAAGCCTTACCCCTGTGCTATCGCTCCATCCAAGGTTGGTAGTGTGCAAGGCAAATGCCCTCCCCACTGTACTATCTCTCTGGCCCTGAATGGAATTTTTAAAGTGTTTTTTCCAAATAATTTTTCATGGACTCTTTCATTGACAAATAACAGTAGCACTGTCCTCCTGTTGTTTATTGGTTTGCTTGAGCAGGCACCAGTAACGTCTCCATTGTGAGTCTTGTTGTTACTGTTTTGGGTGTATCAAATACATGACGGGTAGCTTGCCAGGCTCTGCCATGCAGGTGGGATACTCTCAGTAGCTTGCATGGCTCTCAGAGAGGAATGGAGGAATTGAACCCTGGTTGGCCGTGTGCAACACAAACACCCTCCTTGCTGTGCTATTGCTCCTATACTGGGAAGAGAGATTCTATATCAGATATTTTTAGTGTGGAGGGAAAACCTATTATCTTCCAGTCCCCATCACTCAAGGCAGTATCTTAATTCTTCAAAACAATATGGAGCATGACCTAACTGACAATGAAGTTTGTGAATGTTGATTATCATTACTTCTATTCATATACAGTTTAGCAATCCTGCTAGGAACATTCATTCTTGGATCTGTGAACTTAAAAAAAAATAACAGAAGCCTTGAGACTTACTGGCATTGCTGGCATGAATAATCCCTTGAGAATGTCACTACTTGAAGCTGAGTGTTTGATTCCATAGCTTTGATCTCCCTTTGTAAAATGAGTGAAACAAGGATACTGATGACAGCAATATTATGGATACTTCAGAAAGAAATTAGAAATACATTGGAAAACTAAGACAGAGTTTTTAAAAATCCCAGACCTAATAAGCACCAATATAAGTACTCTCTGGAATCCTCTTCTTTGGATTCATCAACAACTTCCCTTTGAAAGTTTCACTTTCTATACTCAAAAAGAAGTTCCTTCAAGGGCAAACTCTCTACAGCTAACAACTGTCTCTCTGGGAAAAA